ATAAGTTCAATGTGGGCGGGAAAGAAACATGGCGTCTGTTAAATTTATACACATTTATGATTAATATCTTTTATCTCGACAAAGATACGTTTTATTTCGCGATAGTATCATTACATTCTGAACGAACGTTAAAAAGCAGCAAAATACAAATCAGAGCGTTAAGTATTACGAGAATTAAGAAATTCGTGACTGTACATTCGTCTTATTCGTAAACCATTTTTACGTAACATCTAATTTGACTTTCATCAAGTACTACGTGACACGTTTAAGGACATATTTTTCAACAAATAATATTACTCGATGAAAATTTCGTTATCTGTAATATTCACGATATTTCTACTGTTCCTTTTACTTCTTATAATATTATTCCCTCTATTCGTAACAATATTATTTGTTACACGTAGTATTCCTACCACGCTGTTATTCAACCGAGGAGCAGGTCATATTTTGAAAGGCAAAGGGAAGTCGAAAGCAGAGGCAAAAACTACGGTTAGCGATCGTTGGCTCGCGACAAAAAAAAGCAACAATCGCAATTTTTCTCGTGTATTCGTAAACCAGAGGGGCATGGATGGGATTCTCGGGATACGGTGGATGTTAGGGACATGCTTGTGGAATGTTTTAAACGTGGGTGGTGTATTAAGCAGAAATGCAACCGCCGTATGATGCACAATTTCGTTTCAAGATCCTTCCAACGGCGTTCTCGTCCTGCTTATGCCTAATATCTCAACGTCCTTGCTTCTATTCAGAATCGCCTATATAAAAGGAGAGCAAGAAACTCGTTGCCTCTCCCCGTGGTCGCTTTTTTAAGTTCACAACTGCCCCGCGGTCCGCCTATGGACGGTAAAAACGTGTCAAGGATGGAGATCATGGTTGTATTCATCTGCGAGAAACATCCTTGAGGCACTTAAATATCGATTGAGGATACAGGAGCGAGTTGTCAAACGCTTCCTGCCGCTTAGAATCGAATATGCACGGCCATAACACACGCCTAGTCCATTGTTTTTTTTTTCTTTTTTTTTTTTTTTGAGAAAGAAATTTTTCACGGAATTTTTTTCGGTATATAGGTGATGCAAGTAGAAAAATGAGAAAGGTTTCTTTATTGTTTTTTTATGCTTCTGTTTAGTAAGGGATAGTTGTAAAATTGTGTATATGCAAATCACGTGGATTGTTTGAGTAGTATGGTTTATTTAGCAAGATTCTGTCAGTGTGACAATTCATTTCTATCAGACGGCCGTCGCCCAAGCTGGCGCTTCCGTCTTGTTCGTGTGCATTTTCGATTTGACAATCGCCTGACCCAGTTTGCTGATACTGTCTTGATATTCTGATCGCCACGGTGGTAGTCGTGTTTCCTGGGAATCTTCTTCGGCCGTTTTCTTCCCTGTTTTCTTCTTCGAGTCTTTCTCGTCACGCTTGCGTTTAGTTAACCGAGACCCAGCAGAGGGTCGACAGTCCAGTTTTTCTTCGTGTTTCATGGTGGTGCAGGGTCCAGAGTATACTTCTGCCATTTGCGCAGCCGCTGCAAATTGTATTTAACGAAGTATTGTAATTTTAAATAAAATCTGGCAACGTTTATTTTTTAATAATAGTCGTATATACTCTGGTTTTTATGAAAGAGCTTTAAATAGAGATATTAAATTTCAGAAATATATAGGGTAACATGGAGAATTTTATTTTCGTTCTTTTGGATTTCTTACGAATTTCTCGTTTATGGCGGTTGGTTATGGGGTGAGGGGATACCCTCACTGGATCCTCACATAGTGGAGGAATACCATCGCTGGATCCTCAAAGTGGGGGAATACCCTCGCAGAAACTGCAAATAGTGGGGGGATACCATCACTGGATCCTCAGAGTGGGGGGAATACCCTCACTGGATATTCAAAGTGGGGGAATACCCTCACTGGATCCTCACATAGTGGGGGAATACTTTCACTGGATCCTCATAGTGGAGGAATACCCTCACTGAATCCTCAGAGTGGGGGAATACCCCCACTGGATCCTCACATGGTGGGGGAATACCCTCGCTAGATCCTCAAAGTGGGGGAATACCCTCGCAGAAACTTCAAATAGTGGGGGGATACCATCACTGGATCCTCAGAGTGGGGGGAATAGCCTCACTGGATATTCAAAGTGGGGGAATACCCTCACTGGATCCTCACATAGTGGGGGAATACTTTCACTGGATCCTCATAGTGGAGGAATACCATCACTGAATCCTCAAAGTGGGAGAATAACTCCTCATTGGATTCTCAAAGTGGGGAAATACCTTCACTGGATCCTTATAGTGGGGGAATACCCTCACTGAATCCTCAGAGTGGGGGAATATCCCCACTGGATCCTCACATAGTGGGGGAATACCCTCATTGGATCCTCAAAGTGGGGGAATACCCTCACTTGATCCTCATTAGTAATGTATATTCTCAGTGGATCTCCTCTGTGTGGTCCCCACGGTCTTTCTCCTGATCCGTCCCTACAATCTTTAGCCTATTTACCGGATATTTTGCAGTGTTGGTATTGCCAAATAGTATTATTTAGTTGACACCAAGAATTAGAATAGGGAAAAGTTTAAAAAACCCCATATTAATGACATAAACCTACATTAAGACGCAGAAGATGATTAGACTCGGATCAGAAGCTGTATACATAATAATAAGAGGTTTAGCGAGGACCAGTGTGAAAGGTCAATGACCCGTCTCTCTAGCGGCCTTATCGGATACGACTCCTTTTTCAATTCACGTATTTTCACGTAACTTCACTCTCGGTAAATTATATACACACATCTTCGATTCTTTCTTAAGCTATTTACCTTTCTCAGAATAGTCTATCTGGTATGTGCTCTTCAATCGATCCTCGTCAACGCGTTTAATTACTTCGTCCATAGGGGTACTCTGTAGAATTCCATACAGATTAGGGTATTTCTCTTCCAACTGAAAGAGTACCGCCTCGACGTAGTAATTACAACATCCTCACACCGTTACCGACTTACTTTCTTCATGTACGTGCTCGGCTGATCGAATTTCGTTGCTTCACTTTCTGGAGACGGTCCAGTCTTCGCGGGGTACAATTTAGGGTCCAACAGCCGTCCCATGGGACCTGTACGGCTCCAATCGTAGTCATCTCCGCAACGTTCAATCGGCTTTATTTCTTTGGGTCGTTTGTGGCATCGACAAGAATCGTCTTCGCTTAAACCTGGCGTGTGCTTAATCCTGGTCGAAGGCCACGTGTAATCTTTGCTATACGTCGTAATAAACTGATCCATATTGTATCCTCTATTTCTTATTTTTGAAAGAATCGATGGGGAAATCGACGGGGAACCAGTTTATTACAGATACCGAATCACGATATGCTCCATTTTTATATTATCGTTTTAGTGAAAATCTAATAAAATAAACCATGTATATATCAAATTTACTTATTATTTGTCAAAGTATCTCTCACTTGGTCCTCCAATTATTGTCTCCATGGTTCGTCCTTATCTTCGATGCCAGAATTTCTCTCAAAAATTGCCAAAATATCGAACGCTAAAATTTACATGATCGTTTTCTTCGTTCAATTAACGTTGCATCTATATGCTTGTATTGTCATTTTACGCTGCACATTTTGGACGACGTTGACGTGTCGAATGTCCAAGGAAGAACCGTACGGAATTTCGCCGATTAAAATCGGCTGAATTCCGACATGATCGAAACGAACATTGGCGACAATCGGACATTTTCACGCTCGTTCTCTCCAACATTGCAACAGTTAGCGACCCGGCAAAGTTCAGTAATTCCTCCTAGTTCAAACAAACGGGGAACGGAGGTTGTACAACTCCCGCCTAGAGAACAGCGATGGCGCGTATGATTTTAAGTTGCAACGTCGGCTGTGCAAATAAACTATCCCCAATAAATAGTCGTAGACCGATACTGTTCACGCGTTTACGTGCAATCGCAAACAAAGATGCCACGTATTAACACAAGATGGCACCGTTCGTTTAAGATTATTATCTTTGGCCTAGTGCCACTTTCAATAGAACTTATCCATTTTCCAGGTCAATATATTCCGTCTGACATATGGAATCGTATTAAAGAAAAAAAAAAATCCTACGAAAAATAATAACTTCCTAATGTGCTTCTTCAAGTTTCTCCAACCACAAACGATTCTATCGTTCTTCTTCCTTACGTTATTTCAACGTGAAATACCGTTGGCTACTTTTTCTTTTTTTCCACGAGATTTCTCTGTATACTTTCGCCGATTTTGCACATTAGAGACGATTCGTTTTCCGTTGGTTGCACGGCATCAATCTTATTCTCACCCCTACTTTTTCCGCGGCGATTGGCCGCGCTCCAAGACCAACAGATAGTTCAATGTGGGGGCTAGACATAGGCCACCGACTGCAATCGACAGTACAACCGAAGTCGTGCTCGCTTTATTTAGAGATACATCAATTCGAAAGTTCGGTCACTCCGCTTCCGGAATCCTCGCTGTCTTCTCTGCTCTCGTAGACGTACACGGCGGAATGGATTCCATTGCGAATTTCATGTTCATTCCGTCCGGGACAGTGATATACAACTTTCTTCGTCAGGCAACCTTAAGCTCTCCTTTGATCGTAGTCTTCGTATAAATTATCCTTGTACAAGATGAAAATTCGAGGAATTAACGGTAAAACTACTCGTTTGT